TTTCTATGTCAATTATATCTCAATATAGCTGGGGGAAAAGATTTGTTCCTTTTTACTGATGAATGATATTCTATTACATGGATATACCACAGTTTATCAGTTCAACTTTTTGATGGACTTTGGGTTTGTTTCCGGCTTTGGGCTATTCTGAATGATGCTGATCATTTGTGTACAAGTCTTCATGTTCATATGTGTGTCTTTTTCTCTTGGGCTGATAACTAGAAGTGGAATTTCTGGGTTTTACAGCTTAAGAAACTGCCAGCCTGTTTTCCAAAGTGGCTGTACAATTTTACATCATCACCGGCAATCCATGCAGGTTCCAATTTCACCACATCTCACTAAAACTTGATACTGTCAGTTTGGACTCTAGTCCTTCTACTGGAATATGTAATGATATCTCACTGTAGTTTTAATTTAATTTTCATTTCCTCAGTGACTAATGACATTTAGCATCCTTTTCTTGTGCTTATTCTACATTCATATATTTTTATATATTAAAAATCTTTTGCCCATTTAATTGGTTGCTTGCCTTCTCATTATTTAGTTGTATGAGTTCTCTGTATACTCATATAAATCCTTTTTCAGCTATATAATTTATAAATATTTTCTCTCAGTGCGTGGCTTGCCTTTTCATTTTCATAATGGTGTCTTTTGAAAGTCAAAAGTTTTTAATTTTTATAAAATTCATTTATCTTTTTTTTTGTTTTATGAATTGTGCTTTTGACATCATATCTAAGAAATCTTTGCCTAACCCAATGTCACAAAGATTTTCTCCTATGTTTTCTTCCTAGATCTTTTATAATTCTAGCTCTTACATTTAGGTCTATGATCCATTTGAAATGTATTTTGTGTATGGTGTGAAGTAACTATATAAATGCATGCTTTTGCTTGTGGATGTCCAATTGCCCCAGCACCATTTGCTGAAAAGATTATTTTTTTCCTCATCAAATTCTCTTGGCACCTTTGTCAAAAATCAATTAAGTTTAACCATTTATTTCTGGATGTCTACTCCGTTCCCTTGAAATAAATGGTTGTGATTCTCCATACCATATAGTTGTGATTATTATAATTTCATAATGAGTTTTGAAATCGGGTCGTATAAGTTCTCTAATTTTTTCTTTTTTAAACTATTTTTTGGTTATTCTAATTCTTTTGCCTTTCCACATACATTATAGGATCCCCTTCTCACTTTTATTTTTTAAGGCTGTGGGATTTTGATAGGAATTACATTGAATTGGTAGATGAATCTGGGAATAATTGCCATCTTACCAATATTGAGTCTTCCAATCAGTGAATGTGATATGTTTAACCAATTTCATTTTTGTTTATCGTTAGTTTGTAGATATACAATTGCTTTTTGTATACTTATTTTGTATCCTGAGATCTTTGTTCTAGTAGGTTTTTTTAAATATTCCTTAGAGTGTTCTACATACAGGTTATATAATTTGCAAATAAAGACAGTTTTATTCCTTCTTGTCCAATCTGAATGCCTTTGTTTTTCTTGCCTGAATCTACTCATTGCATATTCGACAGCACAGTGCTGAATGGAAGTGGTGTGAGTAGACATTCTTGCCTTGTTTCTTATCTTAGTTCTTCACCATTAGATATATTTGCTGTAGGGTTTTAACCGGGGCCATGTTAGGTTTCAAGGGCTTCCATAACAAGGTTACCACAGACTGGGTGGGTTACACAACAGAATTTTATTTACTTATGGCTCTGGAGGCTAGATAGCCAAGATCAAGGTGTCAACAGGGTTGGTTTCTTCTGAAGGTCTCTATCCTAGGCTTATAAATGGTCTAGGTCTTCACATGGACTTCCCTCTGTGTATATTTGTGTCCTACTCTCCTCATCTTATGAGGGCACCAGACATGTTGGGTTAGGGCCCAACCCAATGATCTTCTTTAACTTTAATTATCTCTTTAAAGACTCTGTCTCCAAAATGCAGTCACATTCTGAGATACTGAGATTAGTACTTCAACATACAAATTTGGAGGGGGATGCAATTCAGCCCAAAACAGGGCCCTTGATCAGGATGAGAAATTTCCTTTCTATTTCTAGTTTGTGAGAATTTTCATAAGGAATAGGATTGGGTTTTATCAAATGCTTTTTCTGTGTCTTTGAGATGATCATGTGGGTTTTGTCCTTTGCTCTTTGAATATAGTACATTACATTAATTGATTTAAATGTTAAATCGACCCTGCATTCCTGGAATAAATGGTAATGGTGTTGAATCCTTTTTATATGTTGCTAGATTAGGTTTTGCAATATTTCATTGAGGATTTTTTTTTTGTCTATATTCATGAGGAATATTGATCTATAGTTTTCTTGGGATATCTTTGGCTTTGGCATCAGGATAATACTGACATTATAAAATGAATTGGGAAATGCTCCTCCTCTTCTGCTTTCTGAAAAAGCTTGCGTATGATTGGTATTATTCCTTTCTTAAATACTGAATAGAATTCACCAGCGAAGACTTTTTCATCTAAGCTTTTCTTTGTGAGAAGATTTTCAACCAGTAATTCAATTCCTTTTATTGTGATAGGCCTATTCAGATTTTCTGTTTCTTCTTGAGTCAGGTTTGGTAATTGGTCTTTCTAGGAATTTGTCCACTGTACTCTCATTGTCTATTTTATTGACATAAGTTGTTCTTAATATCTCCTTACAACCTTTTGATTTGCAGTATCAGTCGTGATGATGTCCCCTCTTTCCTTCCTGATTTGGGTAATTTTGTCTTTTCTTTCTTGTCTAGGTGTTTATTAAAAGAAAATTTTAAATTGTACAACCATAGTTATAGCAACTATACTGATAACAAACAAAAGTTTAAAACAACCCAAACGTCCATCAATAGGAGAATGAAAATATAATGAAATACTTCCAGCAATGAAAAGCAAACAAGAACAACAAAAACAACCTGCTGACATAGGCAGCAACGTACATGAATCTCATAGACATTACGTGAAGCAAAGGAATCTAGACCTAAAAGTGTGCATACTCTATGAGTCTGTTTATATGAAATTCAAAACAAATAAAACCAATATATGCTGATGGAAATCAGAACAGAGGTTGCTTATTGGGGAAATTTGCCTTGCAAGAAAGGGGATATTCATTCTCCAAACCAGCCCCGACCACTTAGCAGGCTCCTATAAAGTCTGGACTCAGGAGGAAATATCATGTAAACCAAGGTACAGTGCCCTGGTTGGGGAGTCCAGCAGAGGCTGTCATCCCTGCTTTACATCACTGGACACTGAAGCCCAGGGGTGGAATCCCGGGGTCATACAGACCATGGGTTAGAACCTAGGCCCTCAGATGTCTGGTCTGGTGTTTTGTTTACTCAGCTGCTCCTCTTCTGGCTCCTGAAGCTGGGCTCACCCTGACCTCCTCTTGCAGTGATCCAGGATCCCTCAAAAGTCACTCCACCCCGGGCTCCCAAATATATTTTCCTCCCACCTGTCCCGAGTACCTGGCATTGTGCTACATGGGAGAGCCAGCCACATTTATCTTCCAAGCCCAGGAGCAGGAAATGGGTCTTTCGTTACCCAGCATAGAGCAGGGCTGTAGAAATTGAACTCAAAGGGCCATGAAGTGAATTAAAGCAGATCTGGGAATGTGAAGACAGAGATCCTGGCTTAGCTGGCATACACCATGTACTTCCTCAGTGACCTTGGGCACACCATGTACTCACTGAGTGACCTTTAGACACACTGAGCCCAGCTTCCTCATCTATAAAACGGGCACCACATCTGCTACTGCACAGGGTCGTTGCAACAATTAAATGAACTCACATGTGTGAACCTGCTTCGTAAGCTCTATAGAAAAAAGTTGCTATTATTAAGCATTGCTGGGGTCCAAATGGGATACGTTTGAGCTTGTCTGGTCATGTATTTATGGAAGAAGAAACTCCTGAGGCCCTGGGTATTGTGGGAGGACTCACAACACCAGGCCGGCTCAGGGGTCCTTGTGCCTGGCCCTGACCCTCCCCAGTGCCCGTGATGACATCCATGTTTCATCAGTGTTTCCCCTGGAAAGCCAAACCCACTTGCATCTCAGCAGATTCCAGGGAGTTGACACCTGGCTCTGAGAGGGTGCCAGCCCAGGGGTCAGGGGTCACACAAGCTCCAGAAGGAGGAAGTAGTTGGCTTGCAAGGCTGTCCTTTGGCATGGCTGTATAAATAACCTTTAATCTGCCCTGAGAGGAATGTGGGTATTCCGCTGTAGTCTTCAGGACAGGCTTTTATTTCTAAGAAATGTGAGCCATGAGGCAGATTTGCTACAACTTATTCTGGTGGGATTGTGTAGGCTGTGGCCAGGCCCTGAGCACCATGGCAAGCCCCTGCCTTTCTGTCTGCACTGCCTGTTCGTCTAGAGGCTAACTTGTTCTCAGCAGGACTCGAGTCAGCCAAAGCTGTCACGTGCTCTCCTCTGCTTGCCTTGCCCTCTCCTGGCCTACAGTCACGTGGGTGGGAGTGGGAAGCACCGAGCCTGGGGCCCAGTCCCCCACACTGCCCAGACTGTCCTACAGCACCCTTTTCCTCCCACAGGCACAGCCCCAGCCCACTCCCCTAAGAGTCCATGGCTCCAGTGCCCCCACCCACCAGTGGTGCCTGTCTGGTGTGCGGTTACCACCTGCTCATGTTTAATTCATGCCTGGGGGTTGGGACCGGCTTCCCAAGAAAGAGAAGAACTCCCCTGGGGTCTCACTCAATTCCTGCCCGCCCTGCAGGGCACATGACTGAAGCCCCAGCCTCCTGCCCAGGCCTGGGGCTGGGAGCGGAAGCCACCACAGACCTGAAGGACACTGTCCCAGCCAAGTCACAGCCACCATTCATTAATCCACAACCATGGAATGTCTTTGGGCCAATCAGCAGGGTCTCCAAGGGCTCCCCAAGGGCTCTAATAATCCTGCAATGATTAGCAGGGGCCACGGGGTCAGTGCACACCAGTTGGTCGGGAGGTCGGCTATGGGAGGGGCAGCCAGCATCAGAGCTGCCTGTCTCTTTTCATGCCAGCCTGGATGGGAGGCTGTTTGGACACACTGATTACTCACCAGCCTCCCCCTTTTGTCTGCCAGCCCAGCCTGACTCCTTGAGATTGTGAATAGCTCCATCTCGCCTGGGAAAATTGCTGAACGACTGAACCAGTCCGCTCCCGGATTTTCCGACAGGCCTATGCTGCGGCTGGAGTCCTCCTCTGGACTGGGGGGCTGCCTGCCCGTGCTCCTGGCTCTCCTTGGCATGGCCTGGGCAGAGGCGCAGCAGCCCCAGCTGCAGGAGGAGCAAACTCCAATGCCCGGAGGTAAGGGTCTCTGTGTGAGGCAAGAGGTGGCGGATCTATGAGCTCTGTAGAAGAGTGCTTGGGAAATTCTGGAAGCCAGTTTGAGGCCCGAGCCCTGGGCATGCTGGTGCGGTTTAAAGGCAACCCTTGGACAATCCAGGGGCCAAGATGCGTGGGAGAGGCTGAGCTGGGGAGGAGGAAGGATGAAGGGGAATGGGCCCAAGCTTGGGGTTCGAGGAGGAATACCAGCCTGGAGCCTGAAGCTGGGGCCCTAGGAGAGACTCCGTGGCTGAGAGGAGCACCAGCCAGGGGGCTTCTGCCAGCCCAGGGCTGGCCCCCATTCTCTCTGTCACACCCATCCCCTGCTCTCAGCCCAAGGGCTCCTTTACACCTCAGCCCCTCTCTCTCCCCACACTTCTCCCCGAGTGCCCCCATCTCTCTGCTTCGGGTCCTCCCACGCACGCCCACTATCCTCCTGTCCCACCTTAGATCTGGTTTCCTAAGGGCAGGGGTGCATTCTCATCTTGCCATGGTGTCCCCCCGACCCCATCGCCCAGGGGACAGGCCCGGGTCCGACTGCTCAGGCCAGCCTGACCTTGTCTCCCACCCCAGCCCTGAGCAGGAAGGAGAGTTTCCTGCTCCTCTCACTGCACAACCGCCTGCGCAGCCAGGTGCAGCCCCCTGCGGCCAACATGCGGAGAATGGTGAGTGCCCCCACCCGGGCTCAAGGAGGGGGCAGCTGGAGGGGCAGCCCTGAAGAGGGCTCAGGAGGCCATGCCAGCACCAGACACCCTTCCACCTGGGCAAGGCAGAAGGGGCAGCCAGTCACCTTGCCTAAGGCAGTACCAGGCCTGGTTGTTGGGGCTTCTGCAGCTTCCTGCTTCCCCGAAGGGCAGTCCCTTTGGCCTTCTTGTTGCCCTGGAGACCAGGAGGCATGGAAGGAGCTGGGTGGGAAAAAGGAGCTTCACAAAGGAGTCTCAGCAGGATGGAGGGGATGAGGACCAGGAGGGAGAGGCATCCTGCTCAAGGGAGGAGGCTTATGCGTGACCAGGACCCAGAGCTTCTTCACGGGTTTGTCTGGAGGACTAGGAGGAGCCCCTTCACATTCCCTCTTCATTCACTGAGGGCCAGGGTAGGGGGTGTAGGGCTTCCTACGACCCCTCGTGGGGGCTGCCCTAGTGGAAAGCTGCCCGCGTAGCGTGGGACCCCAGCTTCCACAGCCCATGTTAACAGGCCAGAGAGTGAGGGTGAGCAGGGTTCCCCATGGCTGCCTCCCACAAACTCCTCTGAGACTAGTTGAGCTGTGGTGACCTTGAGAGCTCCCGGGTCAGTTTCCCAGGATATGGGGGTAGAGCAGGAGGACTGGAGAGGGTCACTCCTCCTCCTTTTGCTGCTCTGCAGAGGCTCCGCCCCTCCTTAAGTTCCAAGTCCTGGCTCCCAATCCCTACACCCCACACTCCCAGCCCTAGCACCTGGTGTGGGGGCGCTCCCCATCAGCTGGTCGGCAGTTTCTACACTTTTCAAGCCCCTTTTGCCAAAGCCTTAGAAAATAGCATTTCATAAAAGGTGCAAGTGGAGTCCCCACTCAGTCTCCCTCACACCTATGGCTTTGGCCCTGGGAACCCCCACGGGCCACCAGGGCCACCGGGGCTCTTACCCAGGAGAGGGGAGGTTGAGGCCCTGGGGCTGCTCTTGGCTCCCGCCTTCAGCAGCAGCAGCATCACTATGACCCCCCCGGCCATGGCCCACTGTGGGTCAGGCCCTGACCATAGCGCTCTCCTCCCTGCATCCATTTACTCCTACCCACTTAATCCTTACAACAATCTTAGCCTCTAGGTACCTTATTGTCCCCATTTCACAGAGGAAAACATTGAGTCTCATGGAGATTGGGGGACTGCTGGAGGTCACACAGCTAGAATGAGGTAGCTGGGCTGGACCAGGGCAAGGTGAGGGGGTGATGGACCATTACCCTGAAAGTCTCTCATTTCAGAGGAGGGGGTACGTTGGGGTGGGGAGGGGGACGCGAGGTCAGCTGGTACACGGGTGGGGAGAGCAGATTGGACCTGTTCCAGGGAACTCTGCTCACTGAGACCCAGGAGACCTCTCACACCCTCTCTGGTCCTGTTTCCCTGTTGGTGCCCTACACACTCCAAAGGCTGGGATGAGAGAATAGGACATAGTGGAATGGCCGCTGTGGCTTTTGGCATCACAGAAGGAAAGCCAAGTGGGAACAGCTGAGATGACAATGGCCGAGTCCAGGTAGACCTAACGGCAAACACAGAACCAGTGTGAAAGGCTTGGGCACTGCCCAGGGCTCACATTACGAGGCAGGAAAAGTTATCACAGTAGCCCATGCATCCCATGGCCTGGGCTGGCACTCCGCCTCAGGTCAGGCCTAAAGGGGTCCACACTGGAGTCAGGAGGATGGAGGCTGGCAGTCCCGGGTCGAGGGTCTAATACACCTAGGAGATTTCTGTGCAGGTCCTGTTTGACCTTCCTGGACCAGAAAAGTGGGCGAAACCCGCTCGGAGTGGTCAAGCAGACAAGCAGGACCCCTGGCCCAGTGCTCTCTTCACTGCAAGACTGGGTGCCCGGGGATGCGCTGGAGAAGGCAGAGGAGGGCCCCCTGCTGATATCTCTGTTTCTACCGCTCCCAGGACTGGAGTGAGAACCTAGCCCAACAGGCTCAGGCCAGAGCGACCCTCTGTGGTGCCCCGGCCCCACGCCTGCCGTCCACCCACCGGGCCACTCCACAAGTGGGCTGGAATGTGCAGCTGCTGCCCAAGGGCTCGGCATCCTTCATCCACGTGGTGGGCCTGTGGTTTGCAGAGGGCCAGCAGTACAGCCATGCGGCAGCTGAGTGTGCCCACAATGCCACCTGCACCCACTACACTCAGGTGAGGCCAGGGTACCAGTTCTGAGGCCCCTATGCCACTAGGGTTAGCTCAGTAGAGCTATAGTTTGTTCTAAAATTGGTGGTTGCTTTTGCCCCAATTTGCATAGTTTTACTTTTTTCAGATTTAAATATGAAATATTACAAACATAAATCAAATAATGGACTCCATCTCACCCCCTATTTAGATAACGTTAACTGTATTCATTTCTCATCTCTTCAAAGAAACAGTCTCTAAATTAAACTATAGATCTACTCCCTCCCATTCTTCTGAACCCCCCACTCCAGAGATAACCTTCCTGAAGTTCAGGTGGATCCCTCCCAAGCATGTTTCCTTTCATTTTTTTCTATATATCTGGCATTGTTTAGGTGCTAGGGGACAGCACTGGAAAAGCACAGGCCAAATCCCAAGCATGTTTTCATACATTTTCTATACAAGTGTTTTTATGCCCTTTCTACTTGTGCAGGTGGGTTGTACGTTATTACATCGTACATAAGTGCTCTATTTGTCTCCTTTTGTATTTGTGTTCATCACTCCAGACCACACTTGTAAGATATACTTCCATTGATGCCGATACCCATGGGTGATTCACTATGAATAAACTGCAATTTACAGGCATCTAGGTTATGTTAACCTTTTTACTATTACAAGTCAGGCCTCAATGCACATATCTTATTTCTAATCCTCTTGTACCCATGTACCCAGAGTTTCACTGGGACACACTGAGAAGGGGAATTGCTGGGTCACAGAGGACATACACCCACAACCTTGCTGGGGGTATTGCCAAAGTGATAAGCCAACTGTACTCCCACCCACAAACCAGTTCCCACTTTCCCAGTATTGCCAGGCTCCACAATTTTCACAAGTCAAGGTTGTGAAATGCCACCTCATTCTGTTTTTAATTTGTATTTCCCTGACTACTTGTGAGATTGAGCATATTTCTTGTTCTGTTAATTGCCTGTTCATGTCTCTTGCCCATTTTTATAATGTGCGGTCTCTTTTTCTTATTAATTTGTAAGCATCCTTTCTATGTTTTTTATATATATTGTTGTTCATCTGGGTTGCAAATACCTTTTTCTAGCATATGGCTTGTATTCTTTCTTCATTTATGCTACCTTTCATGTATAGAAGATTTTAATATTAACATAATCCATTTCCTGTTTTTTTTACTTAATAGTTCATCCATTTGTTGTATCATATTTAAGAGATCCTTTCTACTCTGGCATCAGAAGGATATTCTTCCTACATTTCCTTCCAATGTTTAAATGTTTTCCTTTTTCATACTGAAGTCATTAAGCCACCTGGAATTTTTGGTGCATGGTGTGACATAGGATTTAATTTGCTCTTTTTCCACAAAATGGGCATCTTTTATTGAATCTTTCCCCTGCTGACTCATAATGCCTCCTTAGACATATGCCAGGCTCACATATCCACATAGGTCTGTTGCTGAGTGCTCTGTTTTATTCTGTTGGTCTTTTCGTTTATCTTGTACAAATTCTGTTTTAATTATGGTATTATAAAAAGTTTTGACAGGAAAATCCCCCATATTATTATTGTTCAAAATTATCTTGACTATTCTTCGTTCCTGATTCTTTCTATAAATTTAATAAATAGCCTTTATCAGGTTACAGACATTTCTTTCTAATCTAAGTTTAAGGATTTTTAAAATCATGAATTAGGTCTTGTGTTTTATCAAATGCTTTTTCTGCATCTATTAAAATAATCATATGGTTTTTCTTTGACCATTAAAATGATGAACTACATGAACAATTTTTTTGTGTGTACAAAGATGGTATATGACACTAGATCTCCCTAGCCACATATTTTTCTAAGTTTCATTGTAGAAAATTCAAACATATAGTGGTCAGAATGATATAATGAACCCCCATGTACCCATCACCGACTTCAACAATTAGCAACTCATGGTTTCATGGCTCATCTGTTTTCATCTATATCCTTACCTATTTCCATCTCCTCCTACATAATTTTTAGCAAATTTCAGACATTATATAATTTTATCCATAAATAAGTAATGCACATATCTTATTTCTAATCCTCTTGTACCCCCATACCCAGAGTGAAACTCTGAGTACATAATTTTTAGCAAATTTCAAACATTGTATAATTTTATCCATAAATAAGTTTTTATCTCTAAACTACAGTTCTTTTAAAAAAAATATAATCACAATACCAGCAAATATATTTATCATTTTCTTTAATGTTAACTCTTCCTTGCCTTCCTACTTCCAGGGCTATAATTTATCTCGGTACCATATGTTTTAACGGTTAGTCAAATGCTACAACACTTTAGCAAACAGCCACTACTCCAAGTTCCCAGAATGCACCTGGCCTAGCCTCTTCCCTAGGACCCCTAGGATCTCTCCTATGACTAGAACCAAAAAGGGAATGCCATGCACAGTAGTGGGCCTCCAGGATCTGCTCCAGCCCAACATCTCTTCTGATTGGCAAGTGCCCATGCCTACTGGTTGTTAAGTACTTTGATTATCTGCCTACTTGGCATGTCACGTGATGTGAAATAATGTGATGGGGGTGTGTGTGTGTTATGTTTTGTTTTTAATTCCTTGCTGGATTTGTTTTGCTGAGATATTATTTGATAGTGAAAGTGTCCTCCGATTTTCCTTTCTCATACTGCCCTTTTCTGGGTTATAGCAATGCTATACAGACCTCCTAAAATGAGTTGGAAACTTTGCCTCATTTGCTATTTCCTGGAAGAGTTTCTATAATATATGCTGTAACACACCTGTAAAACTATTTGGGTCTTGTTCTATTTTTTGGTTGGTTGTTTTTGTGTGTGTATGTCAGTGGGTTTTTAACTACTGATTCAACTTCTAGAAATGTCAGATTTTCTGTTTCTTCTTGAGAGAGTTTTGCCAAGTTCTATTTTCTGGGAAATTATCCATTTTATGTTTTCCAACTTATTGATCACAATTATTCTTTTTAAAGAATTTTGTTGCAAAGTTTATTTTTTGAGTTAGGTATAAATAGAATAGCCCATTCACTATCTTGACTTTTAGAACTCTTAGCTTTTCAAATTCTAAAAAATGAATTGGTAATAGAAAATAATGAGTTGGCTTGCGTTACATTAACATTCAATTACAAATGTAATATAAGCTCCTGTAAAATAAGAATCTGTACAATAAAATGGCAGGCAGGTGGTGACAGTCACACTTCATAATTGTTCATTATTTCACAGAGATTTTAAACTAGAATTAAACAGAGATTTTTAAAAGTATTTACTGTGTCCATAGCCAATGTCCTTTTAAAATTCCCAACTTGATTTGTGCCTTCTCTTTTATTCTTTACCAATTTTCCAGAGGTTTCTCTATTTAACGAATCAACTTTTTGTTTGTTTTCATTCTTTTTTCTTATTATTAATTTCTGCTCTTATTTTTATTATTTTCTTCTATTTTGTTTTACTCTATTATTATTTTTATTTCATGATATGGGTCCTCGGGTCATTAACTTTTAAGTCTTTTTTTTTTTAATTTCTGCTATATGCATTTAAAGCTAAAGATTTCCCTCTAAACTTGTTAGCTGCATCCCATAAGTTTTGACATTTAGTGTTTTCATTGTCATTTAGGTCTAAGTGTTCTCTATTTTCCATCATGACGTCGTCTTTGAGTCTGAAGTGTATATTTAAATTTCCAAAGCATGCTTTCTTCTTTATTGCCAAGTAACTTACTCTAGATTTTATTGCATTGAATTCATAGAATATATCCCGTAGGATATCGGTTCTTTGGTATTTGATGAACCTTGCTTTGTAGTTTAGTGAGGGGTCACTGTTTGCAAGCATTCCATGCATTCCTAAAAAGAACATATATTCTTTAATTGTTGGATATGTATGTGTGACCACATGTTCATCTCTCCCTGCCTCATGCTTGTCATTTTAAGTGGTTTGCTCAGTTCTTCCTGTGTTTTGACCATTTGTGCTATTTCCGAGTTGTCACTGATTCTCAAACTTTAAATCTAAATTTTGAATACTATTAAAGAACTGTATCCATTAGCTTTTGCTGCTCAACACACTACATCTTACGATGCTGCAGATCATCGATTTGAGTTGGAATCAGCTGAGAGGTTCTTCTGGTCTTGGCTGGGCCCCCTCATGCAACTGCAATCAGCTTCTGGGTTGTCTGGAAGTTGGCTGTCTAGAGGGGCCTCAACTGCCTCATCTCTGCCCTTGGAGGTCTTTCAGCCTCTAGCAGGCTTGCTCATGTGGTGGCTTGAGCATAGTGTTATGAGAGTAGAAATTCCAGGGTTCCCTGAGGCCTCGGTTCAAAACCCTCTCAGGAGCACTTCTGCTGCAGTCTGTCAGCCAATGCAAGCCACAAAGCCAACCAGATTCAAGGTGGGGAAAAGAGAGTCTTCTTATTGAAGGAAAGAGCTGCAAAGCCACATTTAATAAGGGGGCTATAGCGAGAAGTGTGGCCATTTTTGCAATGTCGCAAGGCCTTTCATGTCCAGATCTTTCTTTTGCTATTCTCTGCCACCCATCTACCATCTCCCCTCCCTTCTGGTATCTACTGAGCCTTGCTCCTCCATTCCCCCCGACCCAGAAGACCTTCCTAGACCATTCCCACTCATCCTTAAAGCCCTGCACAGCACAGCTGCTGCTCCTCAGGAAGGTGTCTGTCTGCCTGGTTTGGGGCCAAAGCTGTGTCCTTCCTCCCCAGGCAAGCAGCACCTGTGCTGCTGGCCCCCAGATTGGGAGTGGGGGTGGCCCAATAGGATTTCTGAGCCACTGTGTCTCCCACAGCTCGTATGGGCCACTTCAAGCCAGCTGGGCTGTGGGCGACACCCCTGCTCTGGGGGCCAGGCGGAGATGGAAGCCTTCGTCTGTGCCTACTCTCCTGGGTAAGTCCCCACCACTGCTGGGCTGTGCGTGTTGAGGGTGGGATATTTTCACTGAGGGTGAGGCACCCACCCACCCACGCACCTAAAAGACTTTCACCTCTTGGTCTGCACCCTTGGTGGGAGAGGAAAGAAGGGAGAAAGAGAAAGGGCGCAGAGATGGGCAGCACCCACGATTCTGGCCATGCAGAATGCGGCACCTCCCCAGATGCTCCTTCCTGGAGGCACTCCCAGCTTTCAGGGAGTTTGCCTAGAATTAGTTTGAAGGCCTTTTCTTTCCTAGGAAATCTCTCAGTCTCACCCAGCTCCCTGACTCCCTGACTGGGCCAGAAGGAGCTGAAGGGGCCAGTAGGGCAGGCAGCAAAACCTGCCCCTGCCTGGCCCGAGGCCAGGCCATTCCAGCCCTCTGGTGCTTGCTCTCACAGAGGCAACTGGAAGGTCAATGGGAAGACAATTGTCCCCTACAAGAAGGGCGCCTGGTGTTCACTCTGCACAGCTAGTGTCTCGGGCTGCTTCAAAGCCTGGGACCATGCAGGGGGCCTCTGCGGTAAGTGCCCACCCTGCCTGCCTCCTGTTAGGGCAGTGGGTATATGAGAGCTTGATCTGGTGATCTAGAGGTGGGTGGCAGCATCCTAAAGGGCTATCCCAGAAAGGCACCTGCCTAGAGGAGGGCCTCCTCTCAGAGTTCCCTTCTTATATGACCAGAGGTCCCCAGGAACCCATGTCGTATGAGCTGCCGGAACCACGGACATCTCAACATCAGCACCTGCCACTGCCACTGTCCCCCTGGCTACACGGGCAGATACTGCCAAGGTAAGAGGCACCTAGAGTTCCAGATCACCACAGCCCCAGGGAACCCAGAGAGGGGAGCCTAGGTCCAGCGCCCATACAGACAGCCTCCATGGGACGAGGAGGGGGACAGTGGCAGTCACAGATGCATATTCACGCTCGTGTAGTGTGTCCAGGAGCTGCACTGCACTCACTGAGTCGGTTGCGAGGGAGTCAAGGGTGTTAGGGAGTGCTGACCGTGTGCTTGCTGATTTGCACACTGCATATAGTCATTTGATAAGTATTCATTGAGCACCAACTGTCTGCCAGACCCTGAGCTATGCCGTGGATTCAAAGTGGAGTCAGATATGGCCCTGTAGGCTCTGGGGTGGAAGGAGGAAGATAGAATTAGGCTCCAGAAGTGGATTCTTTTCCTATTGTCCTTCTGCCCCAGCACTGTGGCTGTGGACAGGTCAACTCCCAAACCCCAATTTGCTTCTCTCTACAATAAGATAGAACCAAACACACCAAGTGTGGCAGAGGTTGGGGCCCCATGGGTTCTGTCCCTGAGCAGGGTGATCTCTCTGTGGTTGGCCAGTCCCTGCACGTCCACAGCCTGTGAGGGGCAGAATGAGAGTCAGAGGCTGAGCACAGCACCCTTCTGCCCCATCCTCACTGCAGTGCGGTGCAGTGAGCAGTGTGTGCACGGCCGGTTTCGGGAAGAGGCATGCTCCTGTGTCTGCGACTTTGGCTACGGAGGAGCCCAGTGTGCCAGTGAGTCCTGACCCCTCCCAGGACCCGCTCGACGGAGTGCTGGATCCGGCTCCGCCACGCAGCTCACATTTGCCCACAGTTACATTCTTCCCAATTCCCTATTCAGTGACGTCACATTGGTAGCTTGAAATGGGCCATGGTGGAGGGATTCACACCACAGAAACTGGCAAATGATGCGAATCATAGATATTTTTTGAGAGAGAGGCTGGTTGCTACACATCTACCAGCATATCACTCACTCTCCAACATCTCCAACGTGGAGCAGGTGGCACCTTGAGCTCAGCTCCCTGGCAGGGCAGGAGGGGTCATGATTCTGAGGTCCCCACACATAAAACTAGGCTCCCTTCTCCCTAGCCAAAGTGCACTTTCCCTTCCACACCTGCGACCTGAGGATCGATGGAGACTGCTTCACGGTGTCTTCAGAGGCAGACACCTACTATGGAGCCAAGATGAAATGCCAGGTGACAGTTGACCCCTGCCTTCCCAGGAACCCCCCTAATTCTCAAGCAAGGGTCTTAATGGAGGGACCCTGGGTTAAGAGATGGTTCCTTCGACATCTCCTGACCTGCTTCTCATCATTAGTTTAGAGCAGGAGCCCACTCAGAGGCCCATGGAAGCCAAGGGGTACTTAATGAGTTGAGGGACCAGGGACACGGCCCCTCCCAACCTGCATCCAAGGAGCCACCCTGACTCAGCTCCAGCCTCTGGCTGCGGGCGGAAACACAAGTTCAGGGAGGCCAGAACTCAGGATTTTTCAGGAGAACCAGAAATCCAGATTCTCATTGGCATTTCTAGGTTTATTAATGTTGGCAACCAATGCAAATGTATTTAAGACACTGAGCAGATGAAACCCTTCCAAGGGTGGCACCCTGCCAATCTGGGCCCCTGTGCACAGAGAGAGGAGATGCAGGCAGGGGACAGGAAGGGGAATCCCTGCTCTAATAGGCAGGAGGCTGTGTTTGTGTGAGTGTGTGTGTGTGTGTGCGCGCACGTGTGTGTGTGCGCGTGTGTGTGTGCATGCAGGGATGACAACAGCACAGCCAGCACACACATTTGCCATCCATGGCCACGGTGGGGTGGCAGGAAGGGCTGGCCTGAGCTCTGGGGTCCTGCTAGCATGACCCAGAGTGAGGGTTGCAGGAAAAAGGTGGAGTCCTAGCCCAGATCGAGAGCCAGAAAGTACAGGACATCCTCGCCTTCTACCTGGGCCGTCTGGAGACCACCAATGAGGTGACTGACAGTGACTTTGAGACCAGAAACTTCTGGATAGGTGAGTTTGGGGCTGGGATGTCCCACGATGCTCCAGGCATCTGGGCTCTGGTAACCCAGAGCATCTACCTGCAGATAGAAAGGACTTGCAGCCCAGAATGGGGCCAGTAGTCAGGCTGGCAGCCCCCTTCTCTAGGGAGAGAGCTGAGGGGAGGGAGAACCAGCAGGGGGACTGGAAGAGCTAGGAAGGAGTTTATTCTGGGAAGAGCAGGCTCAGGGCTCAGGTCCCCCTTTCTTGGGTGATGGGGCCAACCTTGGCTGCCATGGCCCAGGGCTCACCTACAAGACCGCTAAGAACTCCTTCCGCTGGACCACCGGGGAGCACCAGTCCTTTACCAGTTTTGCCTTTGGGCAGCCTGATAACCAGGGGTGAGTCTGGGGTGCTCTCCCTTCCCTGGGGCAACCTTCTCCCCAGGCCTGCCCACTGAGCCTTCAGATGCCACTGAAGAACCTCCACCCAGACTGCTTCTTGGCCACGATCTCTGAGGGTCTGAGCCTCACTTGATACCCAGGTGCCCAGGAAGTCAGGGCACAGCTCGGTGTGGGTACAGTGCTGAGGTGAGGCACACCCCAGGCCTCCATAAAAGAGAGGGAACCCAAGAAGGCTTCATCCATCCACCTGACCCCACGGTCCCCTCCATCTATTACCCATCCTCCCCTTCCCCTTGCCACACCCCTCTGCCGGTGTCAACACACTGATTCCCGAATTCTTAGCTATCCACCCACCTGCATCTGTTCATACAACATCTACCTGCCAGCCAGCCTGTACCGTGGGCCTTCTGATTATACAGCCTTGCCCTGGGCTTCAAAGCCCAGAAATACCCAGGGCAGGGGTGGCAGGGGTAGAGGTGACCAGATTGTGTGGCCACCAAGGGCTCCAAATATCTCACCTAGCCCCCTCGACCTTCTTAATGGTAGCCAGGCCTGTGCCCCTGGCCCATCGCCTAGTGGAAGTCGGCCTGGTTGAGCTCCCAGGCACCTCTCCCTGCTGGGAGGGGAGGACACGAGCCTGTGCGCCCCCTGCGGGGAGGGGAGGACACGAGCCTGTCTGTTCCAGGTCCCCTCCGCAGCCCCCTACTGGCTGGGGTGGCTGAGTGCTAAGAGTGGGTAGGTGGAATTGCTCCCTCGAGTAGGGGTTGTGCTAAGACCTCCCAGCTTTCCTGATAGCAGCCACAATGGCCTGAGGAGCAGGGATGGGAGCTTGGGGTTGGGTCTGTCTCCCGGAAGCCCCAGATGTGGGATGGGGGCACTGAGGTCTCTTAGATGCAGGTGGCCTGCTGGGATAGAAGATTTAAGCCTCACCCAGACGCCTAATTTCATTCCTCCACTGCGAGCACCCAACATCTTGGCCCAGCAGGTTTGGCAACTGCGTGGAGCTGCAGGCATCAGCCGCCTTCAACTGGAATGACCAGCGCTGCAGAACCCGAAACCGTTACATCTGCCAGTTTGGTGAGGGCCCTCCCACGGCTCCCCGCTGTGGTTCCTGTCCCCTGGGTATTTGCTGGCCCAATCCAAGCTGCTAGGATGTCCAGATCACAGGCCAAAAAGTGTGTGAGCACACAGAGCCATCGAAAACATAGTGCTCAAGGAGGACACCTGAGGGGCCCAGTGGCAGGGAGATGGGCCTAGCTTCACACAGAGTGTCCACGCAGGGGCAGGACTAGAAGTACAGCCTGGCCCGGGGCTTCTCCAAGGTCCCTTTCCTCCTGTCATTAATGCTGTTATTTGGGGATCAGTGTTACCTGATTCCCTATAGCTCAGAGAACTCTGGCCCAGAATCGGCTCCCGGCAGCACCCGCTAGAAGGGTCCGGGGCTCCACGTGGGCCCATGGCCATGGGCACTTCAGGACCAAGTGCAACAGGATCCCCATCCCAAGAAATGCCTGGGCTGCTGTCAACCTTCACTCTACTCTGCTTCCTTCCCAGCTCAGGAGCACATTTCCCGGTGGGACCCAGAGCCCTGAGGCTGAGCCACGCCTCTCCCCTGCCAATGGGCGGGGACACCAGCCCTGCCTGCTTGTCTGCCTACCTGTCTGGAACTAGGGCCAGACCAGGACCGCAAGCCCACCATCCAAAAAGGTCTCAGACCTTGCAGGAAGTAGGATATGGAGTTCGAGTGAGGCCAATAGGGAGCCTGGCAGAGGGGGAGGGGAGCCTGGGGCCCCTCAGCCTGCTTTTGATTGGGAAGATGAGCTTCAATCAGGTTCTGAAACAGCAGCCAGGTCCATAGTCAGAAGAGACCACTCTCCTCCATCTGGGCTGGACCCTCTGGGGCAGATGGAGGTTCCTTGCTGCCCAGGAAGCACCCCACAAAAGATTAAACCAAGTTATGAATCAGCCAAACTTGTGAATGCTTGCTTTGAAGGAAAATTCAGATGAGCCAGGATGACTCTGGAAGACCAAAGAGTGCCTGAGACTCCACTGCCATTGCCTTCTGCCCACTCCAGTCTCTTCCCTGCTCACTCATGTGACCCAGGACATCCTCTGGACATTTTCGGGTCCCTAGTCGCTGAATAAGGCATAGATGTAGAAGCCTCATTTGCGTCCCTAATTTACTGCTCCCGCTCCTCTCATGCTTGCCTCTGTTGGCTTCGTGTTTCCGTTCACACCCTCTTTATTTATTATGACCGCTCCATGTGTTTCTGCTTTCTTTCTGATTATCTAAGCTAGGAGTCTGTTATGGCCCCATCTTCCTCCTTTCCTACAATGAGAGGGTGGACACAGGCAGGGGAAAGACTGGGAGGTACCATCATAGTGTCCAGAATGCACCATGTCCTACATGCACATCGTCGTGTGCCCACGTCATGTTGCTTTGCTGATTGGAGGTAAAAATATAGGGAGAAGAATATCAGTCATAATTCTTAGTTGCAACCAATAGAAACAGAAACAGCTCTGGCTAATTGTGGCAGGAAAAGAATTTATCAAAAGGACAATAATTTAAAAATGGGCACAAGACTTGAATAGACAGTTCTCCAAAGAAGTAATACAAATGGCCAATAAGCACATGAAAAGATGTTACACATCACTGGTCATTAGGAAATCCGAATCAAAACCACAATGAGAGACCCCATCACACCCATTAGAACGGCTGTTGTCAAAGAAACAGACTATAACAAGGGTTGATGAGGATGTGGACCAACTGGCACCCTCATACACCGCTGGTGGGAATGTAAAATGGTGAAGCCACTGTGAAAAACAGTTTGGCAATTCCTCAAAACGTTAAACACAACTACAATATGACCCAGCAATTCAACTTCTAGGTATCTAACCAAGAGAATTAAAAACAAGTACTCAAACAAACCCTTATACACAAAGTTCATAGCAGCATTATTCATAATAGCCAAAAGACAGAAACAACCCAGATGTCCACCAGTGGATGAACATGTAAACAAACTGTGGTGTGTACGTACAATGAAAAATTATCCAGCCAATAAAAGGAATGAAGTACTGATACACACCTACTTCAATGTGGATGAACCTTGAAAACGTTATTCTAGGCGAAAGAAGCTAGTTACAAGAGGTCATATATTGTATGATTCCATTTATATGAAATATTCAGAATAGGTAAAATCTGCAGAAACCACATTTGCGGTACTCAGGGGCAGGAGGAGAATGAGGAGCAACTGCTTAATGCACACAGGTTTCATTTTGGAACGATAAATATGTTGTAGAACTTAGATAAATCACAACGTTGTAAATGTACTAAATGCCACCACATTGATTGATTTCATGTTATGAAAATTTTACCTCGATTTAAAAAAAAAGCGAGACAGTTGATCACAGGATCTTGGGGAGAGTTGGAGGGCCAGACTGGGTGCCTATGTGGCTAGAAATAGTGGCCCAAATTCTGCTGCAAGGCCAGCCTGGGTAGACTTCTGTGTCACTGCTGCCAGGCATGGGAACTGCCGAGCACACTCTGGCCACAGTGACACTGGAGCCACCTTTGTGACAACACCACCTCTGCTGTGGCACCTAAGGCTGAGCCTCTGACACCCCAGCCACCAGTTGCTGCATCTCCCGTCAGCATTCCTAGTGCTACTGCACCGTTCCTCACCAATGTGTGTCTCAGGGCCGCGGCAGAAGACGTGCCTTTGGGACCATCTCAGGATTTGTGGGTGGAGGTGGCGGTGAGCAGGTCTTACCTGAAACATCCATTGCAACCCAGAGGTAAGGTAGCATAATGAGATGGTTCTCCATGTCGGTGCATACCAGAAACATTGGCATCACCTGTGAACGTGTTGGAACTGCAAATTCTCAGCTGCCCCAAATCTAGTTCTGAAGATGAGGCATGCTATCTTGGTTTTAACCAGACCTCAAGCTACTTTGAATGCAGGCTCAGGTTCGGGAACCAGTGGCGGAGGCAAAGAGTTTGAGCCTGAAGTGAGAGCACGTGAATTTAGTCCAGGCTCTGCCATTTACTGTCTTCAGGTGAGTGCCTTAACACCGAAGGGAACCAGTTGTCTCAGTTTGTCCCAGTGTTAGCACTCGGAGTCACACATGCTGGGAAACTCCTCCATCCCAGGCAAACCAAAACAGTATCACTCTAAAACATGCCTCTTCCTCATTTCCTTCTGTAAAATAGGGATAATAAAATAACAAAACATTAAAGTATTTGGAACAATGACTGGCGAGGCTGGTCAACACTGATGAATGTTAGTTCAGCTGAGCTAGTGCCCTAATTTTTTTATTCCTACATCGACATTATACAGTCTAAACCTCATTTGTTAACTAAATGAATTTTAAATAAGTACAGTGCTTCAATCTGTGCCTGGCAGATAGTAAACGTTCAGTAATTCTTAGCTATTCTTATTTGTCTTCTTATTAGCTGTTAGCTAATATTATTCGGCCATAATTGAGTCCACGTCTCAAGCAACCATCAGAGCCAATAATTAGAACCATCCCATCTATTCAAGCTAGCCCCAGAGAACCCTAAATATCAATACATTCAACCCCATCTAATGTTATTTCCTTCCTTCCCCAGTCTCCACCCTCAGAATCCATTCCCAGAGCACTTTGTCAGGTTTTCGCCAATGCAAATTAGCAAAATCTCATATTTCTTTTGGTAATTCAATCCTCTTCCCAGATTTAAACTAAATGGCCCCCAGGGGCCTGCAGGGATCTGACTTGTTATTTTCAGTCTGGAAAAAATGAAGGACGGTGGGGTAGGGGCACACAAGGGGACTCCTTCAGGGCAAGGGCATTGCAGGGTGTATTACTTAAGGAAATGGTAGCTGCTGGCCATCGTTGCACATGTACAATGGGGGCACCGTGAGCCCAGGCTGAGCGAGGCCCTGCCACCTGCAGCACATGGCTTCCCAGCTCACCCAGGGTGTTGGCACTCAGGTGGCCAACTCGTGGCACATGTACAATGGGGGCACCGTGAGCCCAGGCTGAGCGAGGCCCTGCCACCTGCAGCACATGGCTTCCCAGCTCACCCAGGGTGTTGGCACTCAGGTGGCCCTCAGAGGAAGTAGGAGAGTGGACAGTCACTCAGAGGAAGCTATAGGTGTGGAAGTGATGCACATCCCGCTCAGCCATTGCCACTGCCACCCCTCAGCCACACAGCACACTGACTGCAAGGGAGGCTGTGAATCTACCTATATGT